AGTCCTTCCTCAGGAAAAAAAGGAAACTTCTATCGTCACAAGATTTTAAGGATTTAAATTGTTGAAGGTCTGTAAATAATATTTATTTCCGTTGTGTAAACTAAATTAATATACCTTTTGATCATTTCACATGTGAAGATACCGAGAACATCAAAAACAAACTAATGTATAGTTGATGCCCAACATTCCTTTTGAAAGAGTACGAGTTGGCTTATACATGGTCTTTGATTCATCGAATTATATCACACCTCCATGTATAATGAGTAAATGAGTGGACTCGAATAATAATACACTCCACAATGAAGTTGTCATATGAAATTAATATTAAAGGTAATACAAAGTTTTGGTAAATTTTGAAAATTGGGTGGATAGTGATTCTTTACAATTTTTATATATTTGGATGCCCCTGTGGATGAATTATAAGCACAACAATTTTTAGCCCTTAAAACACTTCTGCTTTTGAGAAAAATGGAATATAAAAATTTACCGGTGCTCCCGGTAAATTTAAAAAAAATTCAAATAGCGCCTACGGCCGTACAATAGTAGCTGCGACCATGAAAATCTCAGAATATGTAGTTGTGATATATAATTTCCAAACGCGAATAGCTAATCGGTTGATTTCAGTCAAGAAATATTGTTTTATAGGTTAATTAATATCTTGACCTTGAGAGGGAGCTATACAGCATAAAGAGTTGATTATTGATATTTTCATAACTTTAGACTCGATTGCAACCGCGACAATGATCACTAAGTACTGTCGGATCGCATATGCTTCCAATATTTTTATTTGAACCAAATTCATGACCTCACACCAAAACTTTGTATTACCTTTAAGGGAAAGCCGCACATGTTGTATTTAGATTGATTTTATAAACGCATAATCGGAATTCACTCGTAAGATTGTAAAAAATCATGAAAATGGGGTTTGCAATAATCAGGTATTAACCTAATGTGAAAGGTCGGACCACTGCTATATGACCAAAAGCTTTTGCAAATGTTGCACAAGTGATTCTTTGTTCTGTTTAATGTCATAGTTTTACATTAATGTATTTAACTCGTATATCCATTTCAATGCATATATATTTCTGTATATTTATCACGTGAACATGTAAATATATATATATTGCTGGCTTATAACGAAAACTGATATGAACTGATTTTCAAAAAATACTCTCTAAATATTGAGTAATACTGAATATCATATTTTTATTGGGATTTCTATGAAACGCTTTTGTTACAATAATTTAAATCATAATGTGTGATATTTAGATGAATTTGAACAACGGACTTTAGTAAACTGATAGTGTATCATAAAGTTTGTTTTTCATAGAAATCAGTATCCGTTAATATTCGCTTTTTTGTTAACATGTTATGCAAATACATAGATTACAAATTACCAAAATGTACATGATAAGAGTTAATTACTTTAATCGTATTTTCTCAAAATAATAATGCAACATTTTGAACCGGAAAGTAAGATGTAATGCACTATTATCTTTATGTTAGATTTTTCTCTTTATCTTATTTTACATTTGAGATTATAAATATTGTATAATCCTATTTCTCCCCCTCTATCTTTCTTGAGGACACTCTTTAATGTAACAAATGTAAATCATAAAAAAACATATGAAATTCAAGGATTGTCCTGTTTTGCCTTTTTGTGATAGTGCAAATAACAGAACGTAACCATAATACTATTGTTACCTTTTCCATATTCTTATTATGTAGGCATATGAGTGCAATAATAATGTTTGAATCTGTTCCAGTTCAAGAACTACCCTCTATCTAAAAAAGGAATGCTCAAAACATTACACGTTCGTGCAATTAAGGTGACCATGAAAAATATGTGGCTCATGCACTGATTCTGCGATCTCGTTAGTAACATTTATATTAAGAAAATTATTGTGTATGATCTTAATGAGTTAATAATAAGCTTTTATGAGCATCTGAATTATTTTTCAAATTCAAATACCTTTGTCATACCTTAAACATTCTGACTGAGACAAAATCTTCCGTATATAGGTAGAAGTCGTGTTCGTTGGACTATATTAAACCGCTAAACGTAGATGTAATAATTCATACATCGCAATAATGTAAAATCACAGTAATGCACTGAATAAAATACCACAATTCAAACAAATGTTTCGTAGTGTCATATTGCATTATTTTTGTAACATATTCCTTCGTATACATGTGCATTATTTTAAGTTGGCTTTCGAATTATCTTATGGTCATGCAAACTCAATTGTGTTTTTATTACAATAAGTAAGTTAAAAAAAAAAAAAAGTAAATATGATATAAATAGTAAATGTCATTTGTATGGATGTAAAGGGTACAACAAAAAGGAGAAGGGAGAGTAAATAAAAGAAAACAAGACAAATTAAAATATGAGGGCTAAAGAGAGAGAGAGAAAGAGAGAGAGAGAGAGAGAGAGAGAGAAAGAGAGAAGGGAAGAACTGGTATGTGAGAGTGGGAGAAATAGAAAAGGAGAAATAGAGAAAAAACAGATAGAAAGGAGAAAGAGGGAGATAGATGGAAGATAGCTATAACGGAGAGAGAGAAAGAGAGATACAGAGAGAGAGAGAGAGAAGAGAAGAGAAGAGGTGGACACATTTACATCTATTTCAAAATGCTAGTGATTTGCCACCTGAACATCACAAATCTCATTTTTTCATACTTGAATTTAGTTTCGGATTTTTTGGGGAAAGTCTTTGGCCCAGCTTTTCATAGCCAGCGAGGGACTTCTCCGAAAAGAATGCACTCACATAGTGAACAGAAAGGATCTTTTTATGGATCAAAGATGAATGTAAGGACATTTTATTTTCATCGGTCAAATTTTAAAAGAGAACAGAGCAAACATTGGCAAAAACGGTTACAAACTGAAAATTGTGTTTGAAATTCAAGTTTTTGATTTGTGGATAGTAACGCGGAATATATACCAAGTATCATATTAGAATTTCGAAACATCAAGATATGCAAACATACAGGTTATATCAAGTATATATCAATGAAATAAATAAATATGCATTGTATACTTATATCAAAGGTATGTGAATAGGGAAAGGACGATAATAGGCGCATTTACGTGAATAAAGTGGATTTTTTTTTTTAAAGATGGAATTGAACAAAATGTCAACAAGTGATATGAAATATAACATGGATTAAAAAAAAAAAGAACCCTAACTATCATTAAAGACAACAAGTATATATATATATCGCAATGGTGAATTATTATTCAGTTGTTCAGGTATGTCAAAGGTTAAGCTGCATCTATGTAAACATGAATTTTAAATCGTATAGTACCACCTTATATACAAGTGCAGATTCATTAAAATGTCCAGTATATTTAGAGTTCAAAGCGTAATGCAAATATTTATAAAAAGAGCAACATGTTACAAAGCCATTGACAGATAATTGATATCATTATGGTAGATGTACATTGTTAAGTACGTGCATTTACATGGAATATGGAATATAACAGTATAAATGCTAAGTTTCTGATTCAAGGCTTTCTAAAAGATGGGTAGTGATCATGCGCGTACGCAAGGGGGGGGGGGTATTTGGGGGTTAACCCCCCTCAAATCTTTTTATTGTTAAAAAAAAACAAATTACAAGAAAGAAAAAAACGGCGCGATTTTCATATTTTAAAACACCCCCTTGAAAAAAAATCCTGCGTACTCCACTGGTACACAAATCTGCTCATCATAGGTATGTAATTTCAGTATTGATATCTAGGAAGATCAGTAAGAAAATACGGACGAAGCAGAAAGAGATCACTTCAGGAGAGGTGGGGAGTTGGGTCATTAATACTCAGAGATGAGTGCTTGCTTCAAAGAGAAAAGGAAACATGGGAATGCATGAAGACAATACCGATGCCTCCTTAAAATATAAAGGCAAATAATCTCACGGTCGATGAATACTACAAGAATGGGGCAGGAACATGACCTGTTTCCGTGTTGAGAGATAGCGGAGATGAGTACCAAGGCGTCATTCGCTAATGAGCACATTCTCTATTAGCGTATCACAGGCACAACATGAATATATAAGTTTGAAAGAAAATTAGCAAAACAAGTACTTTCGGCGAGCCGACAGAGTAGACAAGTGAAGAACCCTTAGTTTTTATTCATGAGGCATTTTACCTGAATAGCCTTTGACATATCTAGGAAGAATGTGGCCAATTGAAATGGAACTAAGGAGGAGATAGAGTGTGTTTACGCCTTCTTGCAAATGACCCAAGTCAACTACTGTATTGTTTGCTAGGATTTTATTTTAAAGGGGGCGGAAGTGACCACACAAGTTTTCCCCCCTCTTTCGTGAATCGCGGAAGCTTTGACTTTTCATTACATTATTACAGAAAGATGAGGATTCATTGCACTGTTCTCTACTCTTAATCCTTGTCTGAATTTAGTTTCCCCCTACCTCGCGAAGCGCGTAACCTTTGTTGTTTCATGAAATTATTAGAGAAAGAAGATGATTCAGAAATAAAACACATTTTCAAATTTCTCACGTTCATTTTGACTTCAACAATGTTGAAGTATTGTTGAAATATTAGAGAGTATGAGTGTTTAATTACTCATTAGTATCTAAATCAGATACTAGTGATGCCATCAGTTTCTTCATCGTTCACCAAGCTATTGAACATGAACATTTAAAAATATATTTTGTTCAATTTTTCATACTTTCACCAATAGAGTTCATTTTAAGAATGTCATTTTAATAAAAACATTGTCAATGTGAATGTAATGACCATATCCCTTAAGATAATAGTCACAGCATATTAAATATGTGAAAGAGGTCGAGAAACAGACGAGTGTGATTAGGTAGATGGAGAGAGAGGCAGAGAGGCAGAGAGAAAAAGAAAGTGCATGAGATAGCGAGAGAAGAAACTGAAAGGGGTGGATATACAAGGGAAAGAGAGAGAGGGGAAGAGAGAGAGAGAGACAGGAAGAACTCGGAGAAAGGGATATTGGGGTTCTAACTTTAGTTCTATTATTACCCCTGAAGGGTTAGCCGATCCCGGAAGTACTGCAATACCGGGCCAGCCTGCGACCAGGATGGAGCAAGCCCCCCCCCCGCCCTATTCCATGGTCTAGATTAAAAAATCAGTTTATTATATAAGCGACTCGGTGAGTTGCATTCCAGATGTTAAGCTAAAAAGAACAGATTTATTAATAATATTTCATCTTCGGAACAGTTATATCATTTAGCAACAATGATATAAGTCTGCAGTTGGAGAATGCACAGAAATTGTATTGGTTATTGTAACAGTAGTTCACGGGGTACATCGAGATAATGTGTATGGAAGGGTAATAAATGGTTGAAAGCATCTAATTTATGGTATTAGATGTAACATATCATATACATGCATAATAATTATTATATAAATAATGAATTGTTATGAGTTCAATAGTGCGAACATTTTCATGAGTTGAAAGATTAACATTCTATTCAACGAGGCGTCAGCCGAGTTGAATAGAATTAACGTAAATCTTTCAACGAATGAAAATATTCGCACTATTAACGGAATGAAAACATTCATTATTTGTTTTATACAACATCGAGGAAGATCTAATAGAACGTTAATCAACAAATTATGCTTTACTCTTTATGTTAAAGATAAATTAAAGTTGGAGTCAAGCCTTCTCGATTACATTCAGATTGCCTTCGCGTCAGATACACGCAGGGATACGCGCACGGCAGAGATGTACGCAGTCTGCATATAACCAAAATGCACACCCGTGCAATATAACATCTATTGAATATCATGTGACCAACAATCCTCCAATCAAATGACAAGGATCCACGTAGGTGTTGTATAAAACAATATAATCATAATGGACAGTGTTCGTGTACATTGAGGGTAGTATTTTATTCATACTGCCGATGACCATGTCATGTGTTCAGTATAGATGTCTCTAGAGCCCTTGATGGCGTCGATGTAACACAGCTTCCTTATGAGTGGGCGGTACCGTTTGGAGATGCCAAGACGACCGAGAGCCTGTTCATTACCTCTGTGCCAGGTTCACAAGGCGCCTACAATAGGGACTTTTGGATTTACACGACGAGAACGTGGACCGCCACGTGTGACACCATTTTAAGGTAATGTGCGTCCTTTTAAGGCACTGCCGGGCACGGCCCAGTGCCTTAACACAATGACACACGCGGCAGTCCACGCTCTCGTCGTTTAAATCTAAAAGTCCCGAATGAAGCCATGGACCTCAACATCGTTGCCGGCTTCACGTAGAGATTGCCGGAGAACGCTGTACTTCTCAACCTTGGCGTCAGCTGCAGTCGTGCAGGCCTCCGGGCCGTTATCGAATGGGATCGAAACGTCGATGATAGTGATTTTTGATCCCTCGATTACGGTGATGTCTAGCCGAGAAGCGATACCAATTGTTGTAAATTTTGAATAACTGTCCATTTATTTTGTGTCGCACATGACGGTGTGACGTAAATTCTCGGGCAACCGAAAATAATGTTACATTTTTCCAAATATCTCAAAATCGGCGAGATAAACGGCAAAATGAAGCGCACGTACTAAAATGTTGTCACAATGATTTATTCAATGAGATAAACCACATTCAACGAAACTCTTCAATTTATTATAATTTGTACAATTTGATGTGGAAACATATTGAGAAAACATAACCACAATCCCATCGAAGTGCAGTGTACATGAATATTCATATGTATATACACGTGCGACGACAGCAGAGCGATGACAATAGAAGGTATAGAATCTCTTTGTGCTTCAAACTTCTAGATGTGACGTCATAATTGAATTAAGGCAAAACAAAGGCCATGGAATTGGCTGACGATTTTACGGACGTATAAAGCTACGCATAATGGGGACTTATAGATTCTACACGACGAGAACGCGGAATGCCCTTTTAAGGCAATGTGACGTCACTGCCAGTGCCTTAAAAGGACGTCACATTGCCTCACAAATTTCACGAATTCCAGCCTGGCCTGTCGTTGAGAAAAAAAAAAGTGGCGAACACAAGAAAGGACTAACGAAGATGGCGGATATCACGTGATCACGCGTACGAGCGCTGTTTTCCGAGTTTTCCGACTGGGATTACAACTTCAGATAATTTCCGATCCAATTCATGATGATCAATTCAATTTACTTTGGTATTGATTTTATTTAACTTTGACAGTTTAAATGCGTCATTAATAAATATCTGGATGATCCTTGCTTTCAGTTTCATAATTATGTGTGTGTAAGGTACAATGTATATCTTTCCTTTATAGTTATCTGTCATCTCTCTCTCCCTCTTGCTCCCTCCCTATCTCTCTCACTCACTCTTTCACACCATATCTTCCAGTCTCTCTATTTTCAACATTCATATTTAAGTTTTCTTTTTTTCTTTTCTCCTCCTATCATGTTTTCTACACCCTTTACATCTATTCAAAATAGTGACAGTATCTATTTATATCGCATTCATTTTTGTTATCTGCCTTACTACTAAATTGTAATCGAAATGTAATTTAGGCCATAAGACCATCAGATAATTACGTTAGAAAAAGAATATAAATTGACTCTAAGAACCACTTGTTTCAGTCATCGAATTGTCATTTTCATTACTGTGATCCTATATACGGCCATGCATACATTATTATACCATCTACGTTTGTAGCGGTTATAGTCCAACAAACACGCTTTCTACCTACTTACGGAAGCGTCCGTCTCCGTCAGAATGTATAAGGTATGGCAGAGGTTTGTTTACTAAACAAAATATATCAGCTGTCAAAAACAAAGCTTATTAAAAAGTCGCTCATAAAGTTGGAATATTTTAGTTTTACCCCAATTTATGGAATTATTTTAAAAATAATTTAAAAATAATAGATCTAGATAATAGTATACATTCTCAGATTTTATTGAATAATAATTTGCCAAAGTGTGTTTTGCGGGACTGCTAAAGCATGTGTATGCTACCATGCTTATCAACTAGGGGACTTACGTCCTCAAGTCATAAATGACAGTAATGAGGATTAATGCCCCACAAAAGGGCACTAATATAGCACATCGACTCGGTTTTGATCATGGGGCCTCACAGTTACGAGGCCATTGCTTTGTCACTGAGCCATGACTGTACACAGCGGGGTCTAGGGTAGAGGGCAGTTTCCATAAATAAAAAAAAAACTAAGAAAATGGAATAAATTTTCAATAATTTATTGCTTTTACCCAGGTTCCCAACATAAAAAAATATTTTGTGTGCCCATGCCTTGAGCCATAATGCATGGCCGTCCAGAGGATTTGTTTATGTTGGGGACCGGGGTAAAATGCAATAAATGATTGAAAATTTATTGCATTTTCTGTTTTTTTTTTAATTTATGGAAACTGCCCCCTACCCTAGCCCCCGCTGCGTACAGTCATGGTTCAGTGACAAAGCAATGGCCTCGTCACTGTGAGGCCCCAGGATCAAAACCGAGTCGATGTGCTATATTAGTGCCCTTTTGTGGGGCATTAATCCTCATTACTGTCATTTATGACTTAAGGGCATAGGTCCCCTAGTTGATAAGCATAGTGGCATACACATGCTTTAGCAGTCACGCAAAACACACATTGGCAAATTGTTGTTCAATAAAATCTCAGAATATATACTATTATCTAGATCTATTATTTTTAAATTATTTTTAAAATAATTCCATAAATTGGGGTTAAACAAAAATATTCCACCTTTATGAGCGACAGTGTATTAACTGTGCGTTTGTTGGAAAGTGACATATTCAAAAATTTACAGTCAGGCAAACAAAAATAGTCGTATAGTCGTATAAGGGTATAGTTGTACAATTTCCTGCGTTCTGATTGGATGGCTGGATAGACGTATAGTCGTATAGTGGTATAGTTGTATAGTTGTATAGTTGTACGAATATTGGCATGCTTGGCCCGCCATAACCGTGTGCATGGTACAGTGGTTGTATGTATACAATACGATCGTTATACTCATCAAATTGGCAATTCCAAACGTTAGCGTGAACTTTTAACGGGCTACCTTCTCCACGCGTGAGTTGGTAACAACTAGATTCAACCGCTTTATTTAGTACCCCCGCTTTTGCTCTGGTTTTCCCAATTTCACGAAACACGACCAATCTATTGCTTGTTGTTGCCTTGTTGGTTGATCTTTGGTTGCCAGTTGTCAGTGCGTATTGATATCCGCCTCCACTTTAAAAGGCAATTGATGATTGACTGCAAAATTTGACTGACATTTTTCTTAGGTTTGGTCGCTAGAATATATACTTCTACAACAAATTACGACATGATATGGGCATATGGCTGTACAATTAGAACTTCGTGGCAAATTGTATTAACCGCGAATACTACGGGAGGGGATGGGGGGGGGGGGGGGCTCTAGGTACGTGAAGTAATACATATCGTCTTGTTGTTTTGTACATGTTTTCCAAAAGAACTAATGAATTGCTTACGACAGCACCAAATCATAAGTTTGTTATACAAAAACAAAATGTAATGAGAAACGTATACATCTATAAAATCGAAATGTTTAAGATCAGAAATTTACAAGAAAATCTGGCAACCTAGATAACGTACTTTGAGTTATGGCCACACAATATGCTGCCGATAAAAGATATAACCTGTCGCTATTCAGAAGTGTACCTTTTTAGGTTGGGTAAACAAAAACAAAAACAAAACAAGGGACATCCATGTCATTCTTTTAACCATTATCCAACTCTAGAAAGAAAAAAAAATTAAGAAAGAAAGTATTTTATTGTCATAAATTCGGTTTCATTCTTCAAATTGACAGACGAATAATAGTTTCAGGTATAGAGACCATACCCTTCACAAAATAGTAAAATTTGTAATATTTATTCACGCCTCTCCTATGTGTTGAATGTTAAATGTGTCGAGCCATGATGTGTGAGAAGGAAAAGCCACATCTATATATAGGATTGACTATGATGGTAGGCCAAATATTGACATAATAGACCGAAACGATCGTGGCACAATGGAAATAACTTTTGTAATATTTTTGGGGCGGTATGCAGATTATGACTACAGTCCAAAGCATGTTAATCACAATAGGGCATTCACACCTAAAGAAAAAAAGAGGAGATTTATAAATCTAAAAATATTAAAAAATAATTTCATTAATCCTCGCGATTGGGAATCAACAAATCGATTGATTTATTCCCAGGATTCCAAGCGCGCTCGAATGTACCAACATCCAGTCAGCGG